CCTCAGATACCATCACATGCATCATTAGCTATGCAAACATCATCAATGGAGAACGCAGGAAGCTGCGTCCCGATTTTATTTAGAAAAAAAGGAATAAATGTGAAAATATAAAAAACAAAAGACGCTGTTTAACGTGTTTTCTCATCCATATTCAGTAAGGGGTCATGGTCTGCCCCCGGCATGGTCAGCAGAAAGAACAACTAGCAATTGTGCTACGGCTAACAACACTTTGTGGGCTTGCGTCAACGGGCGTTGTTTTCCTGCGTCTTATGTGCGTCTGGAACGCAGGTCGGCCGACTTCTATTGACTTTAATTATATATGGCAGATCACAGTCTGCGTTTTTGCTGCTTTGCGTTGCGCTGTTTTTCTTTGGACGCAGCATGACCTATGACGTGCTGGCCAAACGCAGCCAAACACTGCGTTTTCTATTTGAATGCAGCTGTATATGTTCAAATGGAAAACGCAAAGTGTGTCCAGAATCCCATCAACATGAACCCTAACGATGACGTATAGCGTATGCATTTACCGGTAACGTTTCTCTGAAAGTAATAAATATAACAAAATGCTTAAAAAAGAACTCCGGGAAGAATTGTCTTAACCCCTGGAATGGGGCTACCCCGGCACTGCAAAGGTTAAGAGCTCGTTTTTGTCTAGGTGCGAAAATAAAAAGTTATACTTACCTGATCCTCAGAGCCAGCTGGTTGTTAGATCGTTCTTTCCAGCGTCTCTCCCCCTCTGCTCCAGCAGTCTAAGGTCCCGTGAGTCATCATGTCCAATACACTGGATATAAGACGTGAGAACACAGAGGGACATACCATTGCTGGAGCACAGGGGGAGACAGGCTGGAGGGAGCACTCTAACATTCAGCTGGCTCTGAGGATCAGGTGAGTATAACTTTATTTTCGCACCTAGATGAAAACAAACACTTAACCCTTGCAGTGAGGGGGAAGCCCCACTGCAATGGTTAAGTATTTTTTTTCCGGAGTTCTTCTTTAACAGATCAAAAGGGAGCAAGTACGAGAGGTTCATTGGCAGAGGTTATATATACCTATGGGCTGGATTAACACTGTTGTGGTGCATCTACGTGCGTTGCGTTAGGGTAGCCCATTCATTTGAATCGGCTGTGTAACGCACCAAAAAAAAACAGTGCAACACAACACATAGTAGTGTGTTATCATGCGTTTTGGTGTGCTGCAACGCAGGTGTAATGGGAAGTTGCATCGGGGGCACTATTAATAATGAATGGCGCTGCGTCACACCAACTCATGTTTGCGTGCGTTCCCAAAAAACAACATTGTGAACTCAGCCTCTCAGGTAGTTTAAACCACATCAGAAGCTCCTTCCCTTTACATCAGGAGCACCCCTTTGACATCAGAACCCCCACTTCACATCAGAGTGCCCCTTCACATAAGGAGCCCCCTTCACATCCGAGTCCTCAGTCTCCCTTCACATCAGAGTCCTCAGTCTCCCCTTCACATCAGAGTTCTCAGTCTCCCCTTCACATCAGAGTCCAAAGTCTCTCCTTCACATCAGAGTCCTCAGTCTCCCCTTCACATCAGACTCCACTGTCTCCCCTTCACATCAGAGTCCTCAATCTCCCTTCACATCAGAGTTCACAGTCTCCCCTTCACATCAGAGTCCTCAGTCTCCCCTTCACATCAGAGTCCTCAGTCTCCCCTTCACATCAGAGTCCTCACTCTCCCTTCACATCAGAGTCCTCAGTCTTCCCTTCACATCGGAGTCCTCACTCTCCCTTCACATCAGAGTCCACATTCTCCCCTTCACATCAGAGTGCTCAGACTCCCCTTCACATCAGAGTCCACAGTCTCCCCTTCACATCAGAGTCCACAGTCTCCCCTTCACATCAGAGTACACAGACTCCCCTTCACATCAGAGACCACAGTCTCCCCTTCACATCAGAGTCCATAGTCTCCCCTTCACATCAGAGTCCTCAGTCTCCCCTTCACATCAGAGTCCTCAGTCTCCCCTTCACATCAGAGTCCTCAGTCTCCCCTTCACATCAGAGTCCTCACTCTCCCTTCACATCAGAGTCCTCAGTCTTCCCTTCACATCGGAGTCCTCACTCTCCCTTCACATCAGAGTCCACATTCTCCCCTTCACATCAGAGTGCTCAGACTCCCCTTCACATCAGACTCCACTGTCTCCCCTTCACATCAGAGTCCACAGTCTCCCCTTCACATCAGAGTCCACAGTCTCCCCTTCACATCAGAGTCCTCAGTCTTCCCTTCACATCAGAGTCCTCAGTCTTCCCTTCACATCAGAGTCCACAGTCTTCCCTTCACATCAGAGTCCTCAGTCTTCCCTTCACATCAGAGTCCTCAGTCTTCCCTTCACATCAGAGTCCTCAGTCTTCCCTTCACATCAGAGTCCTCAGTCTTCCCTTCACATCAGAGTCCTCAGTCTTCCCTTCACATCAGAGTCCTCAGTCTTCCCTTCACATCCGAGTCCTCAGTCTTCCCTTCACATCCGAGTCCTCAGTCTTCCCTTCACATCCGAGTCCTCAGTCTTCCCTTCACATCCGAGTCCACAGTCCCTCTTCACATCAGAGTCCACAGTCCCTCTTCACATCAGAGTCCACAGTCCCTCTTCACATCAGAGTCCACAGTCCCTCTTCACATCAGAGTCCACAGTCCCCCCTTCACATCAGAGTCCTCAGTCCCGGCTTGTGTGGCTATGATGTCCAATGTTGTTGGTGTGATGATAATGGTAGCCAGTCTACTGGGGTAGGAGGGCAGCAGCTATAAATGTATGCCTGGTGGTGCGATGTCAGAGTCCAGTGATTTGACTGACAACCAACCTACTGTAACTGTAAGGTCCCCTCCGTCAGCTGGTCACTTACTCTAAATCCCAGTCCATGAGGACATTCAATGTCTCTTTTGATACCCAGAAATAACACAAACACTCATTTGCCAATAAATCTCTTTGCTACAGAAGACCCTATAATAGAAATCTATGTGTAAGTCATAGAGGAGCCTTTAACATACACAACACTTCCTGCTAGGGTTGCCACCTGTCCAGGATTCACCCAGACAGTCCGGGTTTTGATTGCTGTGTCCGGGTTTCATGGCAGCAGAAACCCGGACACAAGATGTCAGGCAGACATGGGCAACCAAAATTAAGATAAGGGCTACTGGGCCCCCCACTGAAAAAAATCTTAGCTGTGATATTTACATATGAATAAGCCACAGCTCGTTCTCCCAATGTCTGCAGGTTGCTAGAGTGTTAGGGTTTCACTTGAAGAAAAGATGGCAACCCTACCCTACATCCTGCCTTTGATTAAATATTGGACGTGACAGGTGACGTCCTGTCTAGTGTCTGGTTTGTATTACAGTCTAGCACAAGGACATGCACAGGCTGTCAGAGATCCACTGTGGTATAAGATGACACAGACACTGCTGCAAAGACTGATCTGTAACAGATAAATATTGTTCTGCATCTTCCATGCAGGAGACGTCTGGAGCTATAAGGAGGAATCTGGTCACCAACAGCTTGAGGATGATGGCACAAGTGCCACAAGCTCCTGATCCTGCACTGAGATTATCTGACCCTTCACATCAGTCCCTGTCCCATGGGAAAATCACAGTCTAATGGAACTACTACCACAGTGTATACAATAGAGGGCCAGTAGTTTGAATGGAAGCCAATTAACCTACCAGTATATATTTGGGTTGTGGGAGGCAATTGACGTAGACATGGGGAGGAACATACAAACTAAACCTGCCACTGCATGAAGATGCAAAGTCCGCTTATGCTGCAGCCAACCACTCCCGAAATAAAAACCCTTAGTTTGAGGTTGCTTTTGACAGGGTTGCTGTGGATCTTGTTGGGCCACTGCTGAAGTCTGCCAGGGGGCATCAAGCTCATATTGGTAGTTCTTGACTATG